AACTTATACGCCCCAACCCCACTGAACCGAAGACTTGAAATATTATTTATTTTTGAAAGAGTTGAAATATTCTTTATTTTGATTGTGGTTTTCCAGTTTTTTCCTCGACATCTCTACTTTCTCCCAAATCGACGCCTCTCACAGGCGATGGTCATAGTGGACGGAGGGTTTGTTTTTGCCAGTCTGATTCCGCCGTTTGTTCCCAATTTCATAGTCCTGAGGTATTGAAGGTTTTGTGTATATCAATAACAGGAGTATAGTATGACAACTATATCCATACTCGATCATGCTCCATCACATGAGTTGGGATGTGCATCAATTGAGAAGGTTTTGTTTTCTTAATCTTGTTGTGGGTGTTATATACATTTCATATTGTGTTTATATTAATTGATTCATGTAGCTAATAATAGTACAAAATGAAATTGCTCAGCAACTTTCAGTTAGAAGGAAGCATAGAAAAAGATTTAAGTTTGTATGGTTCCAGCTCTTGTATCAGGGCCTTTTAATGTAAGTAACATTCTTTATTCATGTGTTCAAGTTGATGAGTTTCAATTTCTCTTATGTAGATGCTCTTCTTTCTTACAAAATAATGTTTTTAAATCTTATATGAAAACCACGTTTCTATGCTTTATTGGGTCTGACATATATTTTTTTTTCTTTCGGTTATGGAATACAATTCTAGGTTGTTTGTGCCTTTTTATTTTTCATCAACACAAATTAATTTACTCTTTGAACCTTGTGGTATGCATTCTAAATCAAATATGTTGCTGGAAATTATGTTTATAGGTAAACTATTGCAAGTAAATCATTAATATGGTTTTTGGCTTGTTTGATGATAATGCCTAACAAGTGTTTGTTGAAATGCCTGAAAGAGAATTTAAAGAATTTAACCTTGTGGTATGCATTCTTTCAGAATTACTAGCAACACATGTTTTATGTAATTGTTTAAAACGATAATTAATTTGTCTGTGTATTATTTCGGTTCAATTTGTGATTTTGAATTCCAATTTCTATTGTCCCGCGTTATTGTATATTTGAAATCTAAAATTATATTAGCAGTAAGTACAATACTTTTGAATGTATTATATGTATTCTATCATAATGTATTCTACCAGAATAAAATCGATGTATTCTGCCAGAATGTATTATATGTATTCTGTCATATTCTATGTATTCTACCAGAATATATTAAGTGATAGTTAATTGCAAGTAACATGTTTTTAACAATTATTAGTTTTTGTTGTATTTGTGATAGGAATGGCTGGAAAAAGGCGTTGACGACCTAATAGGAATAACTTGAAGAATGAATAAAGTTTGATCATACTCACAATTTAAGAATGTTGTTATTTTTTAAGAATTTTAATCATTTTTGTTGATATTCTTTTAGAATATGTATAATTATATTAAAATGTATAAGGATTTTAGTCTGTAAGAATATGTATGAATTTGTATTTAAGTTCGGATGTATAAAAATATATTAGAATGTTTGTTATTTTTCAACATCTGATTCAAGAATTTTGTTTTTCTTCAATAATATTCTATTAGAATAAAATTCTGAAAGAGCATCATTCTAACAAAAAACAATCTGACAGAATAAAATCGGTAAAAATTGAAATTGAATTAATTTAAAAATTCAGGTTTTTTAAATTAGGAGAATTAATCATCCCTAAAAATCCGAAAATTTCCTTTTATAAATGTAGTTAGTTGTCCAAAATACCATTTTGCTAAAAAGTGTGTGATTATATGGTACAAGTTACCCCATTGTAATATCATACACTCTCAAATCATATCCATTGATTAATTTAATCCGTTGGTCCAAATCTGTGCATTCTGGCACCCAATACTTAGTAAAAACAAAATAACCTAAGCCTATATATATATATATATATATATATATATATATATATATATATATATATATATATATATATATATATATATATATAGAGAGAGAGAGAGAAAGATAGGTTCAGGTATTTTAAGTAAGTATTGTATTATTGTATGCATGATTTTGGACCAATCAAAATTTAATAGAAAAAACAATAATTAAATAAATCATTAAGGGTAACTAGGTAATTTGAGAAATAACTTCCGCAAATACTCCCTATAATTTTGCTAGTTACGTTGATTTTAACCTAATCCCCCCATTTTATATACGGCCTACGACTGAACCTATCAATCTTCAACACCGGTGTAGGATCAATCTTTATCACCGGTTGAAGACTCCTTCACGATGTAGGATCAATCTTCATCACCGGTTGAAGATCAATCTTCAGGATCGAATCACTACTCGATGAAGATTTGGGAACAGAGCAAGAGAAGGTGGTTTACATGCACGACGTCAATAAACACGGCTACGCAGTCTGCTACAACGCATACGGCGAGTATCAAAACAAGGAATTATACCAAGCAACCTTCTCCGACGAAGAGAAGCGCACGAATTTCCTTCGATGGAGAATCCAGTTCTTGGAAAAGAGCATCAGAAAGCTCAATTTCAGCCCTGATGGGATCTCCACCATCGTTCAAATCATCGATCTCAAATTTCCCCCTCCCCATTCAAGAAAGAACTCCGTCAAGTTCTTCAGTTGCTCTAGGACAATTACCCAGAATTCGTCGCCAAACAGGTACCTACCTCTCTATTAATAATCTGTCAGTTCAATTTCATAAATTGTCTGGGACATGAGGACATATTCTGATCTTTGTCTACTATTCTGTTGAGTCTGCGGGGAGGACGTTCAAAGATGGGGATTTTAGGGCTCCAAACGGTGGGGAGAGTTCATCGGCCAGGAAGGCTCCTGCTGTGGAGAATTTGTTGCCTTGTAGCTTGGAGGATCTTTATAAAGGCGCTAAGAAGAAAATGAAGATCTCTAGGACTGTAGCCAATTCTGCAGGGTACGTCTTTTCTGGTATTTTGCAATTTCTTTATCTAAAATTCTATACATCAATTGTGCAAATGAGTATTAACATACTATTGATTCTAGTCTATCGAGTAATGAGTATTAACATACTATTGATTCTAGTTTGGCATTGGCAGCTTTTAGGTTGCTCTATATTGTATTGTGGTCGACCCTTGTGCAACTTTCTTGGTGTTTATTGTTACAGGGCTATTATGTGTTGGAATCAAAGAGGTATTCCTTCATTTTCTTCCAAAGATCTTTTTTTCTTCACTAAGTTGTGTTGGAAGTATGTTGCTATTCTTGCATTTAGCCCTTTAATTTTGAGCAAAAAATGGTAATTGCAATAAACTATGCATAAACAAATAGTTAGTTAAACATGTAAAAAGATGGTATTAATGTTCATTTAGAAAGTAACCTCTTTAAGCATCAATTAGTATCAATCAGACCGATTAAACTTTGATTTGTTTCTCATATCCCAGTCACTCGTGTTAAAAAGATTAAAATGCCCTTATTATCCTATATTTCTTGTTAGCCTTGTTTGTGTGTCTAATGTAGCCTAGGCCTGGCAATTGGGTTGGGTTCGGGTTGGCGGGTCACGGGTTGTCGGGTCAGAAAACATAAATTCAACCCAACCCATATAATATATGGGTTGACGGGTTGGCGGGTCACGGGTTGGTGGGTTGGAAACCTTAACCCAACCCAACCCAACCCATATAACCCGTTTAAGTATATGGGTTCGCGGGTTCACAAGTTAATGGGTCAAACCCAACCCATATAACCCGTTTAATAAATAAACAACACATTTTAAAAAATGAGGTTTATTTAACATAAATTCATAAAATGATTAAAGTAATTAACATAAAAAAAAAGGTTTTCAACATAAATTCATAAAGTCAATAACATTCAAATAAAAATGAAAAATGAAAACATTCATAGAAAGTGGATGTGTTCTTCGTTCGTGACTCGTGAAATAACGACATGTATTTTTTTCTTTTTATGATTAACGAACCGCAAATGCAGATTAGTCACATACGAATACGGAAGGAATACAATGATACGGAATATTACGAATACGGATGGAAATCAAATTTAATTAATATATATATATATATATATATATATATATATATATATATATATATATATATATATATATATATATATATATATATATATATATATATATATATATACGGGTTGGCGGGTTGACCTGCGAACCCAAACAGATAACCCAACCCAACCCATGAAATAAACGGGTTGGTGGGTTGGCGGGTTGACGGGTTGGCGGGTCAAAAATCTCAACCCAAACCCGTCTATTTTCGGGTTGGGTCAGTGTCGGGTTACGGGTTGGGTCGAGAGTTGCCACCCCTAATGTAGCCACACGATAAGCCATAAATGAAACTTTACCCTTTTTTCCTTTAGTGTTAAAGCATTTCTAATTTGCACAAATGCAATTACATTTTTGTTGCAAAACATCTCTTTCTTTTGTATCTTATAAAAGTTGTGCTCTTTTATTTATTTATTTATTATTTTTATTTTTTTGCTTTCTATCACCCAAACAGAAAAGAAGATTGATGAGGCTCCAAAGATAAACACATGTACATGTTCCATTTTATAATATTTCTATTACAACATTGTACTTAAAAAAATCTACTTATGTTGTGTATGTGTATGTGTGCTTTATATATATATTTCATTGTTTTATACTGTATACTTTTTTTAGCCTCAACTTCAATGACTACACGTATGTCCAAAGTCATCTTATGTTAGACATCAACAATATCAAGATGCAACAATAAGAATCTGGAATGCTTGAAGCTAATCACATTGATACCTTCTTCCATGTTGAACTAAAGGATTTAAATTTCAAAAAAAAAAAAAATCCTATTTTCCTTGGTTTATGTATTGTTATGTTAGATATGAAAAGGATTTTTCAAATCATGACGCCTTGATAAGAGTAAAAATTGAAAAGACAATGTTGTAACTTGTAATCGAAAAAAAAAATGGAAGTAGAATCATTGCTTTGTTAGACTGTTAAATGCAAAAAATAGCATCGTTTATTATAAAATATCATACAATTTATTTTTCTATTACAACAAAAAATCAACCTAATTATATAATTATCATCCAAATACAAATCACAATGCTATATCCGATACATTTTACAAAGTCCAATATCCCAACAAGAAAAAACACAACGCTATAATACAAAAATAAACAAAAATCCAAAGCCCTAACCACAAATTGCAAGATCTTTCTTGGAAGGTCTAAAACTCAATGCATAGAGGCTATAAATACAAAGATTTGCTTGTTTGGACTTAACAGAGAATTGATTGGAAGTGGTGATAGAGGCAGGAACATTGCATGCAGGAGATGTGCTTCTGATTAATGAAGCTCTGCATGTGTTAAGAACTTGAACTTCTTCTTTAGCACAATTGATTCCATCAACAGAAGGAATTTCCAATTTGTAGACTCCATGTTTGTTTGTAGTTCTGTTAACTGAGAATGATATTTGTTCTGTTGTTCTTGGAGATGCTGCTTTGAACTTGCAATCTATTCTTACTTCTGCGCCTGTGGTGTTTTTGATGGGTTAAAATGCAAATACAAAGCAATTTTCAGTGCCTTGATAACACTTAAGATTGTGACACTTGTAACATTTAATAAAAGTAATAAATTTTTATTACATTTGTCATCATCTAAAAGTGGTAGGGGATGGGTTGGAATATAATTAGTGGTGATTGTCTATTAATCTTATATTTTTTACTGAATAAATTAATAGAAAATGTTGGTATGTAAAATTACTTGTGTAGTTTGTATATTTGAGATTTAGACACGCAAAATAAGTTAAAAAAACGAAGGCAGAAAGACGATGACCTATTTATTGAAATCAAATAAAAATTTATTATATAATACTAACTAAAATGAGAAAAAGTACCAAAAGTGTGATTTCCTAAGTTAAAACTAAAGGGACGATAAATGTAATTAATCCATTTCCTTATTTAAAAACTAAAAATTACAGGGACAAAAAGTGTAATTTTTTAAATTAAAAACTGTAATTAATCCATTTTGTTTTAGAATTAAAAACTATAGGGACTAAAATGTATTTTCCTAAATTAAAACTAAAGTGCTCAAACCTGTAATTAAGCCATTTCCCATCAATTAAAAGGTATATATAATTAGGTAGAATTTTTGATGGGTTAACTGCAAGAAGTAATGTACTTCTTTGTTTATTATAGCATCTTAATTTCATTTTTTTTCTATTATCTTATTGTAATTTGAAAAATCTACAATACTATTTTAGCAATTTCATACAATCGCAAAGCAATTTTCACTGCTTTAATTGAGTTAGATTTTTCAAAAGCACGATATTTTGCTAAGAAAAAGCTGAAATTACTATGCTATAACTGCGTAATTTTACTAAAGTACCATGTTTTAATAAGAAAAAAGATGGAAATACATTGCCATTTCATAGAACATTTTTTTCTAAATGGTGTGTGTGTGTATGTCTGTTGATTCTATCAGGTTATATGTACATGATTCCAGAAGGGTTAAAAGCAAAATATAGCAAACTACAAGAGTGTTTGTTTTATCTTTTAAAACATGTTTTAGCTTTTTAAAAGATAAAAAGCTAAAAGATGTTTGGGAAAAGCAAGAGATCTTGTAAAAGCTACGTTTAGATATAATACATTTGGATATAAGGAAAATGATCTTTTTGGACTTTTTGCAACTTTTCCTAAAAGGACTTTTGCCCTGTTAAACCAAACACCCCCTACTTCCATTCATTTGTTTATTATAGCAACCTAGTTTATCCCTTCCTATGGCAACATTGTAGTAATTAGAGCAATGTAATCGAAATACAAATACGAGCAATAATTGCAATCTATCTTCAGAATTTCATAACAAATAAGTGCAAATACGTTGAATATTTCGTGGATTTAGCAATACATTAATATTAAAACACAAGAAAATTCACAGAAGGGGATTAAAAATTTAAAAACCTGGCAAGAAGTAGCTGTGGGTGGAGAAGGAGTTGTTAGAACATGCATCACAGTAGACAACACCAACGACAGTGATATGGGGAACAGGAACTTTGGAGTTTGAGATTGCGACTTCAACAAATGAAAAAACTACAAACAAAAAGAAAAAGAAAAAGAAAGTGTGTGATTCCATCGGAAACAATGGTGGTGATGGTTGTTATGGAGATGAAGAAGACATGGAGAGAGTTTTTAAGTGTTGAAAGGAGAAAACAAAAACATGTGAATGATTTTTGGATGGATGTGAGATTCGTCAGAATTCAGAAAGGTGGGTTGCTTGTTTACATTCACAAAAAAAGGTCCAGACAGACTACTTTCTGTCACTTATCAATTTTTTTATTAGTTTTGAAATCATGACAAACAGCTTCGACAGATGAGTACTGTTTTGTAAACAAAATTAGCGAAACAGGTCTCATTGGTTGTGAATGTCACTATTAGCAGATCTTAAACTTAGAAAAAGATATAAAGAAAAAAACGAAATGGTCTGATCCATTAAGATATTGAGCTTGAGAGTGGTCTACACTCTAGAAGACCTTTTAAGGAAGGGAATATGACTTACCTTAACTTTTCGGTAAGTTTATATCTCGGTAACTATCTTTTTTTTTACACATCTAGGTAACAAACTTGTTGGAAATGTACACATATGACCATTATGATCTGCTATAGCAGGTTAAATCCTAGATGTGAACGCTTTCAACAAGTTCGTTACCTAGATGTGTACAAAAAAAATAGTTACAACAAAACGAAAAGTAAAATTAAATTACACGAATGGTCCCTGTGGTTGGGGGAATTTGTGTTTTGGGTCCCTAACTTATTTTTTTAACTTGGATGGTCCCTATTGTTTATTTTTGTTGCGCGTTTAGTCACTGTCTTACCTAAAAAGACTATTGTGCCCTTATTAATTTATTTTTAATTAATTTTCTTATTTATGCATTTATTTGTTACATATTTAAAAAATTAATAGACCCCACATATTTGTATCTCCTCGGATGATCCCTACTGTTTATTTTTTAATTAATTTATTTTTTAACTCGGATGGTCCTACTGTTTATTTTTGTTACGCGTTTGGTCCCTTTCTTACCTAAAAAGACTATCAAACGGCCCCTAAGATTACCTAAAAGTAAAATTTAAATTACACGAATGATATGTGGGGTATATTAATTTTTTAAATATATAAAAAATAGAAACATAAATAAGAAAATTAATTAAAAATAAATTAATAAGGGCAAAATAGTCTTTTTAGGTAAGACGGGGACCAAACGCGCAACAAAAATAAACAGTAGAGACCATCCAAGTTAAAAAAAATAAGTTAGGGACAAAAACACAAATTCCCCCGAACCACAGGGACCATTCGTGTAATTTAATTTTTACTTTTCGTTTTGTTCATATTTGGGTAACTATTTTTTTTTGTACACATCTAAGTAACGAACTTGTTGAAAGGGTTCACATCTAGGATTTTATCTGCCATAGCAGGTCATAATGGTCATATGTGAACACTTCCAACAATTTTGTTACCTAAATGTGTACAAAAAAAAGATAATTACCCAGATGTGAACATACCGAAAAATTAATTACCTTAATAAGTCATATTCCCTTTAAGAAATCAAAAGAAATTTTAGACTTCAACGATCTAGGAAAATGGAAGAACTAAATAAATAAACACGTTCAATATTTATAAGTGGATAATAGCCATAATATTTTGATTTTCTTTTTTTCAGTATTTTCTTTTTGGTCAATGAAAATCTCTCTATTATTTAAACAAATTTCCACCGATACCAATCATACCATTGTGACAGCCTCTTTACGCTTACTTGCTTGGTATAATATTTACTTCTTAAAAAACTATCTAATTTTATGAAATGGTTTCTGGTTTATTTATATGGTATGTGTATAACTTGTTAAATTGGAAAATTAAAAGTTATTTGAGGAACTAAAATTTTATTTTAGAATAAATTATACAAATCATCCCTATGAGTTAGCCCAATTTGTGTGTTCGGTCCCTATGTTTTGTTTATCATTCAGACCATCCTCAAGTTGGTTACTTAGTTATAAACTTGCATGTTTCGTCCGTAACATACCTAAAATGACTATAATGCTTTTACGTATTTCCTTTATCTTTTTGTTCTCTCTCTCTCTCTCTCTCTCTCTCTCTCTCTCTCTCTCTCTCTCTCTCTCTCTCTCGTTTAAACCCTAAATCACTTAAATACAACTCTTTCATGTGCACCATAGTCGAACACCTGCTGTCGCCGATCTACACACTACAGCCACCGATCACCGTCATCGATTTGCACACCTCCATTCTACACCTCTGTCGTTGATCTGTTCGATTTTGCTGCCATCACCGTCATCTACCACTATCTCTTACGGATTTTAGGCCGCCCAACGGCCACCACTTCGTCACACTTGACGCCCGATGACCATCACTCATCCTCTTGGCTAGATATGTCTCTTATTCTCTCACTTGCCACACTATAGTCACTAATGTGTATATTTTAATATCGTTAATTTTATATTTATAAAGTCTTATCGAATATCAACTAGTTTTTAAAACAAAGATAGCCAGTGTACCTAGTCGTGAAATAATATATATCTAAGGTAAGAAATGGTGTCGAACTCTGGGGGAACGAGTATGATTTCGATTCAAATAATTATGCTAATAGTTAAACTAAAGACATAAATAGAGGGGGGGTTGTTTAAATTATTGAACTTGTTTTAAACACACAAATTAAGCAAACAAAAGCATAGAACTAGATTAAAATCAATATATTTTAAGTACTTTCACTAGAATACTGTAACGTTCCAAAAATACTAAGTGAAAATTTTCTTTAAGTCAACCAAAACAACCATTCATTCATTCCAAAACCCAATCAACGTGTAAGAAAAATGTATCAAACGTCATCAGAGTACAAAATAAATCATAGAGTGCAGAATACTGGTGGATGCGATGCAATCACGTCGAGCTCTTCCCTTTGGAACCGAAAGTACCTGAAACATAAACATGAAACCGTAATACATCAAACACGAATGCGGCCATCCCAACATACATTGCTTCGGGCCCAACCAATATCATACATAATCGGGCCCAACCCATATAATCGGGCCCAACCTATGTAACGACATAAATTTTCAAACAATTTTTCATTTTTCAAACATAACATATCTTATATAAATCATCTCAAAACTCAAATGTATCAAATGTTATCACGATAAAACATATCCCAGAATCTCAAATACAAAATCCTCTGTTAGTGTGTACAAACCATGTCGGCGTCTTCCCACGATCCTTGCTAGTACCTGAAACACATATCACATAACACGGTAAGCATAAATGCTTAGTGAGTTCCCCAAAATACCACATACAGCACATAAGCCACTCGATGCTATAACTCTGTAAGACCTTCCGGTCAATGTGTGTCAGTGGGACCTTCCGGTCCCACAACTCTGGTAGACCTTCCGGTCCTACCCATGATGACCTTTCGGTCCTAACTCTGTAGACCTTCCGATCTGTTGACCTTCCGGTCCTAACTCTGTTGACTTTCCGGTCCAAATTCTGCAAGTTCAGAACATAGCATATACGTAGCACATATATAACCTACATCCAACTCTGTTGACCTTCCGGTCCAACTCTACAAGTTCAGGTCATAGCATATACATAACACATCGATAACATTCATCATAATCCACATAAGACCTTCCGGTCACACATAATTACCACTCTAGGTAAAGTATAGTGAGAAGACTCACCTCGTAAAATAGCTAGTAAAAGTCTCGTGCCCGAAATCCTCGGTCTAGCCTCCGCCTATCACAAATTAATATTTCTAATTAATATTCTACTCTTATCTCTGAAAATTGGGTAGAAGACCATTCTACCCTTCCCTGACCTCTTTCACTCATTTTGACCAAACCCTAAAGTCAACATAAGTCAACTCCAGTCAACGGTCCAACTTTGACCAGACTCGTCGAGTGCACTCGTGAGACTCGTCGAGTCTAGTCGATTCATGGCAACCCCACAAAGCTCCAACTCGACGAGCTAACCCCTAACTCGACGGGTCACCATCTGACTCAGTTCGTCGGGACAAAACCCTGGACTACTCGCCGAGTCAGCGACACGACTCGGCGTGTCTATTAAGACTCTTCTGCATTCAGTCGATTTAGTGCAAGATACTTTCCCAAACTTCAGATCTATGCACTAAAGGCTCATTAATCACGTAAAGGTTCGACCTTTATGATCATGCATCACTCATCTAGCTCTATTAGACAAAATAACCCTCATAATGGTGTCTTAAGCTCAATATTCTTATGTGACTGCATAAAGCTGGGTTCTTGGGACTCTCTGGACCTCTCAAGGTCCAGATCTGATGTCTAGGCCTCAAAGGGACCTCACATAATTCATCGCTCAACTTAAAAGGGGTAAAGAAACCCTAAATTCATGAGATCTACTTTATACACGAAAATAGGCATGGATCCATACCTCAAACAGCAACCTTTGAAGAAGTGATAGTAGATCTGAGCTCCTCAATCAGCCTAGCTTGAATCCCCTCCTTCCTTCTTGCAAGAATACACTAATGGTGATGAAATTAGCTCCTTCCCTCACTCTCTATGCTCTCTGGTTCGTTAGGGTCTCTCAAGTGTGTGTGTGGCCGCCAATGAAGGCCATAAGGACCCTTAAATAGGGCACAAGCCCAAAGATTTAGGGTTTCTGTCTATAGCGCGGACTCGTCGAGTCCATTCATTAATCCGAGTCATCAGTCGCGATCTTACTCGACGAGTTTAGGCGTCAACTCGTCGATTCCCTCTTCTCATCTCAAAACAAATATTTAAATTATGATACCTGGAAATCCGGATGTTACAATTCTCCCCCACTAGAATCAGACTTCGCCCTTGAAGTCTTACTCTGCAAACCACTCTGGATGCTGCTCCCGCATCTCCGTCTCCGGCTCCCAATTCAGCTCGGACCCTCTCCGATGTTGCCACTGGACCTGAACCAGAGGCACCTCCTTGTTCCTCAGAACCATGATCTTCTGATCCAAGATCCCGATCGGCCTCTCAATGTAATTCAGGATCGCATCCACCTGAATATCCTCTAGCGGCACTACTGCCGTCTCATCGGCTATACACTTCCTCAACTGGGATACGTGGAAGGTATCATGAATCTGGCTCAACTCCGCTGGTAGCTCTAAATGGTATGCTACCTTACCCACTATCGCGATCACCCTGAACGGACCAATGTATCGGGGCCCCAGC